GAGTTTAGGATACATGAATCTGACAAGTGTGTGTATAGTAAGTTCACTGGTACAATAGGTGTAATCATATGCTTGTATGTAAATGACATGCTTGTTTTTGGTACTGACAATGATGTCATTGAAAGTACTAAATTTTTTTTATCATCCAGCTTCAATATGAAAGACATGGGCTTAGCTGATGTTATTTTGGGTATAAGGATTAAGAGAGAAAGTAATAATATGATCCTTACCTAGTGCACCCATGTCGACACCTTTTGATTTAAATCTGAAGTTGTATCCTATAATACTAGTAAGGCTGTTGACCAGTTGTTGTATTCTCAAGTGATAGGTAGCTTGGTGTATGCAATGACTTGCACCAGACCCGACATTGCATTGGGAGTAGGGAAACTTAGTAGATATACTCGTAACCCTAGTAGTATGCATTGGCATGCAGTGAACCGGGTATTAAAATACTTGAAGAAAACTATGGACTACAGAATATTCTATAGTGGGTATCCAACGGTACTAAACAAAATCACGGACGCTAGTTGGATAACTAACCATGAGGATCATTCTTCTACAAGTGGTTGGATTTTCACTCTTGGATGTGGAGGTATCTTCTAGGGATCTAAAAAGCAGACATGCATTATAGACTCAACTATGGCAACTGAGTTTGTAGCATTGGCTTCTTGTAGCAAAGAAATAGAGTGGCTAAGAAACTTGTTGTTAGAGATTAATCTTTGGCAAAAACCTATGCCACCAATATCTTTGCATTGTGATAGTGTGGCAACCCTGTCACGGGCTTATAGCCAAGTGTATAATGGAAAGTCCAGGCATATAGAACTAAGACATAGTTATGTCAGGTAGTTAACCATAAAATTTGTGATTACAATTGATTATGTAAAGTCAAGTCAAAATTTTGCTGATCCTTTAACAAAGGGCCTTGCAAGGGATTTGGTGTAGAAAACATCAAACGGGATGGGTCTTAAGCCCATGTAGTATAAAATCATTCCTGGTGGAAACTTGACTCAACACTTGAAACATCAAATCCTTGAGTTGAATGAGCAAAGTACACCATATGTCGTGATTGCAAACACTCGATCTCTATTTTTATTGCCATCCCAAGTTAGAATGTTTGGTACCTATACTGTAAAAAGAAGGAGGCTGAGTTATTTAACTCCTAATAAGATTACAATGGTGGTAGTTAGAGTACTATAAATATAGGGGTACTCTTAGTAAGCTTACCTATATGAGTGTGGAGGTGGTGCCACCTGCTGTGACGTCTAAGGGCTTGACTCTAGAGCGCTCATGAAACAAGATATAGACACAATCCACGTGTCGACAATTTGAATACTTAAGGTAACTTGTACTGTGCATGAGACATATTCAGTTATTCATATAAGATCGCTAGTTCAAAGACAAGTCTACTATGCCATCTTGACTAACTTTGAAGTGTATTCACTAAGTGAATGGTTCAAATCGTAAGATACCTTCACCTATGCATAAGGCTACCAAGTGAACCAAGAATTATCATCTTGAATTTTGAAAATTGGTGGGGGATTGTTGGGGAATTTTCTAAAATTAATAAAATACTTTTTGGGTTTTCAAAAACCTTCCTAATTTTCCTTCGAAAAATATAAACAAGCTATGGGAACTTGTCGCACATAGAAAAGAAGAGAAAAAGTGAAGCACCTAATAAAGAGCTTTAGGGAATATTCCTTTGAATACGCAATTGTGAGGAGAATGCTTGTGTGCATTGCACACATACCGCAAGGATGGTGCTTCACCATCCACACATGTGCGGTCGTGGCATGGGCAGTGGTGCAATGTGGCGCTTTGATGGTGCACTTTGCACTTAGCAAGGACTCATCGGCGCAAGGCGCCATGAAGGCACTTTTTTATTTGCTACAGAAACCTAGGTGGCAACGACGTGGCGTGATCAAGGTGTTTGTGTGGTAATGAGGTGGCAGGGAATAGGTGGAGCACAGTCAACGCGACACGTGGCAGATCGGTTGGTGAACCGAGTCGTCCGATCGAACTATCGTGTGTCTTAACTTGATTGGTGTGATCATGACCGTAGATCGAGCGTGCATGCAATTAGAGGGTCCAGATGGTGTCCTATTGTGATTGGGTGTGTCTGGTCGTTGCACTTATCGGTGTAAGGAGAGATCCACACTGTTAGAGTTCGATCCAACGATCAGATCTGTTCCGTAGCTGATGAGATGCGATCAAGTGACATGACCTTTCTGATCAGGTGCATCCAAGCCTATAAATAGGCTGCAATTCAACCATATTCTTTCATCCCAAAATTTAGATTTTCTTCTCTGCAATTCAATCTCTCTCTCTCTCTCTCTGAAATTAGCTTTTTGTTTCCGCTAATTTTCTTATATTCATTTCTTGTTAATTTGAATATCAGTGTCTTGATTTTCTTGATTATATCAAGAGTATTTTGGTCTATCTTCGTCGGTGTAGTCGCAGATGGACTGATTTGTAAATCAGGCTTCATTGTATCCTAGAGGCAGATTTGTTGTTAACCCAATACACACCATCTGGTGGGGGAATATATTCTCTTTAGGGAAGCGACGTCATAACACGACTTGAAGCACAAATTCTGTTATCAGAATACAGTCATCTAGAAGGAGGTTCTTGAAGAATTAGAATATTACAACATCTGAAAGTTCCAACAGTAACATGAGCTTGGTGGTTAGAGTTCTTAAATTCTTTCTTAATAGGTGTAAATAGGTCGAATTGACTTGTAACCAAGCCCAAACTCAAGTATCAAGTTCTGTTAATATCACCCGTGAGGACTAGCTCAAATGGTAAGTCTCCAGTAAACAATTAGGGAGTCTTAAGTTCGAGTCTTTACTTCACCTGATATGTAAAGCTAGTAGATGGCTGCACATATTTAAAATTTTACTCCGGGTCTACCGAAGGTGGGGTCAATGGATTTCTCATTATTTGAAGAAAAAATTCTGCTAATATCTCCATTTTAATGGATAATGAATTTTGAAAAACAATGGTAACCCTATTATATATTAGCCAAGTCTGCATTCAAAATGTAATATATTACTAAAGAATTTGCATGGCATGAGATGAAACTGTACATACCATAACCCAGAGTAGACAACCCACATCAGATCTCATCAACCTGTCTCTGATTAATAATCCACCATTGTCGTTTTGCTCCAATCATCTAATGTTTGTAAAAAAATAATCTCAATTATTATAATAATTTTTTATAAATATAAATTTATATAATTATTTTATGATCATTGAATATGTAATGAAAATTGTGGGAACCAAAAAAATATATATACCAACTTATTGGGGCTAACCCAAACAAAGCCTATAATGGGCCCAACCCAAACAAATATCTTCTATTCCCTATACAAGGAGGACACCCTATACATAAGAGGTATGTCTTTTCCCCTGGACTCTACATACAGCACTCTTGACAATTCTAAATCTATACTCTTCATTCATGGATTCTAACTTCATCATCGGAGTGTCCTCGGCCGGTAACCCCGGTTGGATGGCATCAACCATACTTATCTCTTGCAGGTTCATGGGATTATCTTCGTTGAATCTCAACAACAGTCCATGTGAGGGATTATTTTGGATCTCACAATCAATGTCGTCTGTGGGAACGACTAAACGAGATCAATGAAGAACACAACAAACATATTCTTGTAAGTAAGAATTTGACAACACTTTTGATTTATTTGCTCTCTGAAAATTATTTTAAGATTGGTTCTTGGATTGGATGTACATATGTTTGTACTTACATAATAGAGCCTTTTGTTCATTGTGAATCTTTTGCATCTCCATTCTCTCTCTACAAATGGGTTTCACTTTTCTTGAAGACAGCGTCTTTTTGGCATGTTAAAGCTGAGTGATGAAATTTTCTTGATGAAGCTGTTGAAGCTATTAAAACTGTTAGTCGGCACTTTACCAACTTATGCAAGTGCACTTCACATTGTTCAAGTTGATTGACGAAATTTCATCTTTTCTTGGAATATACATACATATATCTATACTAACAATTTCTATGGACTCCAAACTTGGGTCTTTACTTTCTCTCTCTAAAAATTGTTTGGCCAACGAGACAACACAAGTTGCCGAGTATGTTAGTCGGCACTTTATTTGGGTTGATGATGAGCTCAACAGTATCTCTTTATGTATATGTCTATATATTTACTCATAGATTTTTTCGAATGAATATCAATTTTGTTCAAGAAAGTTGAAACAAGATGAAGATAGTGAATTGGCAATTGGGTCTTGATTCTCTCTCTAAAAATATCTATATTATTGCATAATATTATTTATTGGCACTACAACAAAATACATTTTTGGCGATCAAATTTGGCGACTAAAAAAAATTTAGTTGCCAAAACTTGTGGAATTGGCGACTAAAAATTTTTTTAGTTGGCAAAAGTACAATATTTAGCTACTAATTTTTTTTAGTCAAGAAATATTGATTATTAAAATGACACAATTAGTGACTAAAAAATGTTTTAGTTGCTGTATAGATAGTTTTGGCTACTAAAATTTTTTAGTTGCCAAATGAAAAACAAAATTTTACTTTCAGACTTTTGGTGACCAAAAGTTTGGTCGCCAAAAATTTATTTTCAACGACGAAAAAATGTTTTCGTCGCTGTATAGCTAGCTTTGGCTGCTAAAATTTTTTTTATCGCTGAATAAAAAACAAAATTTACTTTTTATCTTTGGCAACCAAAAATTTGGTTGCCAAAAATTTATTTTTATTGACTAAAAAATATTTTAGTCGCCAAAGAATTAAAATATTTGGAGCAAAAATTTTGAATTTTGGAGGAATTTATAAAATTAATTGGCGACCAAAATATTTAGTTGCCAAATTACTACTTTTAGTGACTAAAATAATATTTAGTCGCCGTTAGTTAAGGTTTTGGCTACTAAATGCATTGTTGTCGGCATTGGTCAAACCTTGTCCCTTAATTAGACTACTCTGTCAATCTTCTCCCATTTCACTCTTTCATCATCCCTCTTCTCTCTCTCTCTCTCTTTCTCTCACTCCATCGCAGGCGACCCTCTTACCGGCCATCATCCACCATTGTCGCACACGAGCACCCATCTCCTCACCGGCGATGGTACAACCCACCTCCCCACCGGTGACGTTACCACCCATCTCCCCACCAGCGACGGACAATAGTAGCTACTTTGATTTGTGTCTTCTCCAGTGCACACCAGGTATTTCTGGCCTCTCTCTCTTTCTCTCTCTCTCTCTCTCTCTATATATATATCTATATCTTCACCCAATTTCTAGGGTTTTATAACAAAGGATTTGTTTTTTTTGTTTTTTTTGGGGGGAGGGGTTTTAAATTAGAGGGTTGGATCTTCTCTTTTATCTATTTCTCGCAAGAGCAACGTTTTTTCTCTCTATTTCTCACTTGCAACAACTATTGGAGCACACCCTGGTATTTCCTCTTATTCTTCTCCTTCCTCACTCTCTCAAAACCATTGGAGCACACCCTGTTAAATCCAATTCATTCTTCTATAGTCCTACATAATGATTCTTAATGGTACTTCCATTCAATTCTAATTTTCTTTTAATCAATTAGTTTGTGTGTGATGATGTTGCTATTGTTGTTGTTGGTAGTTTATTTGTTGCTGTTGTTTGGTCTATGCTTTTTATTGTTGTTGTTTTCCACCCTCTTGCTCACCATGTGTTTGACAAAATGTTGAAACAAAATTGGACAGGTTACTTAGTTGTTTGTTGTTAAATTCTTTAAAATCCAAGGCAAGTCTGACAAGTTCATTACGTAAAGTCCTATTTATAGGCATCCTTGGAAACCCCAATAAATTCTAATTTAATAAATAAAACTCGTTAAATCATAAATCACAAAATAATCCTAGAATAAATTCCTAATCTTCAATTTATCTTCATCCAATGCCTTCAAGTTCCCCTTTATTAAGTGTAAAATTTCTAAAATTTTAAACTTTTCTAGTTAAAGCAGTGGCCTGCTAAATATAGATGTTAACCATCACACTATATTTGCAAAAGGAATTAGAACACAAAATAAAGCTTTGTAAGAGGGCTTCAGTTGCTTGGATAGGATATGAGGTATGCTTCTAATGAGTAGACTCTACTTCTAATTTTGATATGCAATAACATTGGTCTAATTCTCTTTGTTAAAATTCATTTTCATTTTCATAAATAGAAAAAAGCAGAAATCGCAACTATGTGGAGAAGATTACTTGAGTGCTTAATTATTATGTTATGATTAAAGTGTTCCTCAGTGCCTCATGAATAATAAAATTAGTTTGACATGGGCAATGGATATATTTGTTTCTGCCTCACTAGCTCTTTGTGCACTTTATCACGAAGGAGCATAATTTCTTCCTCATGGAGAGTATTTTCATATTTCATAGCAAGTGTTCGAAAATTTTACACACCTCACCCACTTTATGCTAAATCTTGACAAACTGTTTTGCCCACTTTATGAGGATCCATGCTCTACTAATGTATGTAGTGAATTAATTATTTATAATTATTTAGTGCATTGATTAGTGATGACATAGTTCTTACTTTAATTGCTACCAGAAAGAATTGCATATATGCAGAAGAATTTCAGGTGAGTATTTAAGAACAAAAACAGTTACATTAACTCAACAAAGTACTAACTAGTTGACAAAAAGCAAAACATCACATGGTTTCTTCATTTTAACTTCATTCATAATGGTCAAAGCTCTTGTGTGAGTTCATACTGAAGAGGCTATTGAAAATGAATTGTTGCACTTTTCTCTCTCTCTCTCTCTATATATATATATATATATATATGTTTCTCTGATTCGCTTTATTTTTTTTTTTCTAGTATTTCCTTCTTTTTGCCTACAACCAAACAGGGGGCAATGTGACTCACATTTGGTTTGTATTAATTTTGGTATTTGAAGCTGACAGACACACAGACACCTGATTAATTTGATTTGGTTTTCCCTTGATCATGGCATTCGAACATGCTTAGAAAGTTTTGTAAGAAATTTTTATTTTATTTTGTTTTGCTTACTTATGAGAATGTGAAGTTCTGCTTTCCACAACCTAGTTTTTTAGATGGTGGCCCGCTTCCTTTAAATTCACCAAGAATCTCTTTTGCTACTTTTTTAACACTACTACCCACCTCAAACTACATATAATTAGGTATACAAGTCAACCAACCCGCACTGATGTTCAACTGTATCAATGAATTTTTGCAACATAATGAACACAACATGGTTTAAATAACCAAAGCTTATGTTGAAACTGATGACAGGAAGGCATGGTGGAATTTATTGGAATGTTGAAGGTCAAAGTATTAAAAGGCATAAACTTAGCAGTTAGAGATATGCTGTCAAGTGATCCTTACGTTGTCCTAACTCTTGGACAACAGGGCAGTGACTCTCACTTTTGTTTTATCCTCAAGGCTGAACCTTATGGGCATGGACAAGGTCTACAGTTCATACCTGTAAATCTTGCTTATATGTTGAGATTCCAATTCTGAATTTTAGCACATTGCCAAAAAATAAAACTGAAGGAATAAAAATTTAAAAGTAAACTAAACCAAATTAAACTAAGCTAAGCCTTGTGTCTCAGTCAAGTGGGATCAGTTACATGAACTGTTTTTCTCCAAGCATAATAAAAAGCAACTTGAATCCAGTATGGAATGAGGAACTCATGCTTTCTGTTCCTTAGAACTTTGGGCCCATAAAATTGGTAAGCCTATCTTCTCAAGGAAATCTTCATTATTATAAGTCAATTTTCCTTCTTTCCTTTTCCCTCTTCCCTTTTCTTTTATAATAATCTCAATATCTTTGATGCTTCGATGCTTCACCAATGATAACACATGGCATGCTACCTGGTTTCAAACAGTACCATTAAGTATGTGCAAAAATTGTACCCACATTCTTAGTGTTTGCTCTTATTGTTTAGAAACCAGTAGGGGCAGCAGCACAAATAGCTGATGGTATTCAATTGAATACCCTGACAAAATATTAATACTAATAATAGTATATGTTGTTGGAAGGTATTTGCACTATTGTCAAATATTTTGAACACTCTACACCTCATTTTTTTATTTGTTTATTTTTTAATATATACAAACAAAGTTAGCTGGTTGGCCATGAGTCCATATGCATATCACTAAAAGGTTAGAGGTTCGATTTTGTCCATCAGTGTGTCCCTTGTATTTGTTTTAGGTATTTCTTATGTTTGTTGGATTTGTTGTACATTTATGGTTGTATGTTGAATTTTCAATTTGATGCAATTCTCATAATATTGCAATTTACTTTCTATTGATTGATAAAAAAAAAAATGTCTACCTTACAAAAATCCCCAAAGCCGCCTCTAGAAACCAGAAGAAAATTATGACAAGACAATCACAATGCTCATCCTCTTCCACTGTGTCTAGTGGCTTGCCTCAGCCTTAACATTGAAGCTGTATTTGATGGACAGTCACAAAATTTCTGGTCATTTCTTCTTCCTTTTTTGATGAACAAATTATCAATAGTTCTTAGAAAGATACAGTACTTGCTGAGAAATGAGACAGAGTAGAGTTGTACTGGACATATTTTGTTATTTCAGTACATCAAATCCAGAAAATGAAGAAATTGATTCAGACTCAAGAAAATGTTTTTGGCTAATGTAATGGCATCAGAAGAAATTTCGGGTTTGTCTCAGTTTGGTCACTTAGAAACTGTAGGAGAAGAAAAAAATTTAATGACTTTTTATGTGGGTTAATGGGTTTGTTGATACTGATGTGTTTAATGAAGTTTTGTTTTATTCACATTCTATTTGGAGTGTTAGATTTGCATTCTTTTGTCTGAAAATTTAGACAGGTTTCTATTTCTATATTTATATATGCATTTTCCACATATAGTTGCTCTTCAAACTATTGATTCAATACAAATACCATGATTAAAGTTACCATAAATAGGTGATTTACACATAATAATACTTGAGGAGTTAGAGAAAGTTTAAAATAATTCTAAATTTTATCAATCAACAAGCTCCCTTATGTTAAACCATTGCAGTACTTGGTTTTTATAGAAAAATCAATCCTAAAATCCTAGGTATTTGCTTCTACATCAAGTACTAGTATGAGAATAACAGAGTAATGGATGTTTCTTCTCCTGATATGAGCTCACCATTACAATATCACCTTCATGGTAATGGAAAAATTGGACTTAATGTGTCTTCAAAGGGAACTCAAAATCAACTTCTTGAAAGACAGGTCATTTTTTTTTGGGGGTAGCCTATTATATGCATTTGTCCTGCTTAGCTTTTTTCATTTATAGTAACTATTTAAGCATCTTCTTTCCAATTTTTCAGAACTCAATTAATTAGCATTATTTTGCTCATCTTGCTATCCATTTCTAGGTGGTGGTTCATGTTTTTTATTCAGTTTATGTTCATCTTTGTGTCACTGGATTCTTTCTTAATCTTTTTCAACATTTGGATTCTTCGCTTAAAACGATTCTGTTAGATGAGAAATTAACAGGTAGATGAGAACGACGAAGAGTTGCTTGATTTTTGCAAATTCTATGAGAAGTGTCACAAGTCGAAGAAGACAAATGATTGGATTGATCCCCGATGAGGTGACCTACATGTAAGAATTTAACAATAGATCAATTGACTGGATTTGGGATCGGCCCACGACTCTCTTCTACCATATCCGAAGCTGCATCAAGAGCACGTGATAAGAGACAGAGACCATGAGATTAGATATCCGAAACATGTACACCTGATATGTTTTGTTATTAAGATGTTATTTAATTTGGATTTTAATTGTTGGTTTGGATAGTATATGTATTTGTTGGATTATACTATGTTTATGGATTCTTATTTTCTTTGATATGTACGGTTAATAATTAAATTTTGTATATGGTTGGAAATTGAATGCTACAGGTTGTGGAGAAATATTTTTATTGAATGGTTGAGAATTGAATGAATGAATAATTTTGTATATACACAGGTTACAAGTGGCGCAAAAAATATTACAAAACAAATTATAAAAACTAAATGAGACCTTTTGGCGACTAAACAAATGTGACAGGTTGCCTTTTGGCTACTAAAACTTTAGTCCCCAATTGTAAAAAAGTGAAATTTTGGCTACTAAATTTTTAGTCGCCAATTCTCAAAAAGTAAAACTTTTGGCTACCAAATAGTTAGTCGCCAAACACACATGCTCAATTGGCTACTAAATTATTTAGTCGCTAAAAGTAAAAATATACATATATTTAATTATTTTTAAAAAATATATGGCGACTAAATTTTTAGTCACCAATAGGTCACTTTTGGCTACCAAAAAAATTTTAGTCGCCGATTGTCTTTCCCGACGAACTATTGGCAACCAAAATAAGGCTTTTGGAAACAAAAATTTTAGTTGCCAAAAGTGAAATTTCTTGTAATGTGGGAACTAACTTTTATCACTTACCTTTTCGTGGAGCACTCCCTTGGATGCAATTAATTCGACTATTAAAATGAATTTTATATATACATATAATGGTATTAGGAGTTTGTCGAGAACATTATTGCCTGATAACCCTTACCTTTTTGCCCAGAACATTATTAGGAATTTTATATATATCAGTTTGCCAAGAACATTATTAGGGATTTTTTAATATATAAGTTGTTTTTTTGACAGTAGTAACATTATTCAGCAACTTTATCAAGTTGCTAACTTATTCGGCAACATTATTCGAAAATTCCCATTTCCTACATCACATTACTCGGCCACACATAAGTTATTTGGCCACTACCTTGTTAAATTCATGCAGTCGTTCAACCATTTCTGGATGTTCGGCACCACAATTCCATCGCCACGCTCATTGGTGCAAGTATACATAATCATGGTGGCTACAACCGCAACCTCAAGTGATGCCGACCAAGCTCTCGGCTAAGTCACATTATAAATGAGGGGGATCCAGGTGTTTTGGCACCACTTACTCGGCAGACAACTTAAGTTCCTTAGCTTTCCAATTAGTTGGGTTAAAACTAGAATCACAAGTTCTTCAACAAAGGTTGTTCGACAAACCGACAATGGAGATGTTCGGCAACCCAATAAGGTTGTTTGGTAGCCATTCAACCCTTCTCGGCATTACTACAGCTTACCCAATCTACCCATTGTTACTTGGCATCGATAAGCAACCCAGTAGTGGCAGCGCAACTTGCAGAAAGCTACTTGGCATGTCCACGCATGGACCTTCACACTACTCGGCAACCATTCCACGTTAAGCGGCCGTTTAACGACAACCTCAGCCACTATTTGTCAATTCGGTACTCAAACCATGTCTTACCCATGTCAACTACAATTCTGAGAAGACAACGTCGGAAAATTTGAATTAAAATTTATTCAATGGTTGTGTCTTTTGTGTTTGAAAAGTGTGTCCTTTTAAAGGGTCACAACCTTTTCGAAGAGTCACATAAAAGTCTATTTATTCCATCTTCCTCACTTCATTTGTACCTTTTAAAGGGTCACAACCTTTCTGAAAAGTCACGGAGGGCTCTACGGAGGGCTCTATATGTTCCATCTCCCTCATTTCGTTTATTGATGGATTTTCGAATTTTCTTCCTCTATCATTGCATTTATTTTTCATATTTTTCTGAGTCTAATTTTTCAATAAAGAGAGTGCATGCACAACGAAGTTCACAAGGCTTGCAATAGTAGTGCTGCTAGTGCAAGACATTGATTGTTGTATCCTGGGAGATAGACGTCCATTAAATCCTGAACACCGGCGGAAGGACGAATCTGTCTTCAAGACAGAGTGTCACGCACTCGACTCGATCAGGTTTTATCAATTTTGTACTGTAAGTTTTGTTACGTTGTTATTTTGATTGGTTTCAGTTTTAGTATTCCCCAAAAATCGTTTACATATTTTTTAATTATATTTCCTATATAAATTTGGTACTGGTTTCTCTAACTATCTTTAGATAGATTCGTACCATCTTTATATAGGGATTTCAAATTTTTGGTTAAATATGTATTCATTTGTTTCTTGGTTTTATACAAACAGAATTTCTATAGTATTCAATGTGATAGATTATAGTTTATGTTTTGAATTGTTGGTTAAATCCATTTTCTGATTTTGTACATGTAGAATATTTTGACTTTTCTTCCTCTATCATTGCATTTATTCTTCATATTTTTCTGAGTCTATTTTTTATTTTTTATTTTTTTCTATAAAGAGAGTGCATGCACAGCGAAGTTCGCTAGGTTTGCAATAGTAATGCTGCTAGTGCAAGACATTAATCGTTGTATCCTGGGAGATAGATGTCCATTAAATCCTGAACACCAGTGGGAGGACGAATTTGTCTTAAGATTATTAGAAAAATAGTACCAAACTTATGGAAACTATAATTTAAAAATATGTAAACGGTTTTTGGGCAAAACCAAAATTGAAATCAATCAAAATAATAACGTGATAAAACTTACAGTACATAATAAATAAAACCTTAGTCGCACAATGTCGAGAACAAATTCGACAGCTCAACCGCGATGCCGAGAACAAATTTAGTCATTCTTTTTGAGTCACATCTTGGCAACATGTTCCACAACATTGGACATTCTTGGAACAAACACTATATCAATTCACCTATCTCTTCGGCACGAATCTCATGATTTAATCCTTGGTAGCAATATTGATTGACACTTCTCTCTCGGCATGGAACTAGCATCTCGACTTGTCAAAATCAACATCTAAATATACCAGAGGATTTGTGTCAACTCAAGGAGTCTAAACCCACCAATCCGAGGAGCCAAGAGATCACCAAAGTTAGCTGGTAGTTGCGAAACGGGCCAAATTTGCAGAAAACTAAAATTTTCAATGTTGTCGAAAGCCAGTTTTGACCATATCAGTGTGAAGCACTCATTGAGATGAGTCCAACACAACAGACCGCGTCAAAATTAGACTTAAAACGAAGGAGATACAGGGCCTCAAAGTCACGAGTTCGAAACTGGAACTGTAACGGCCCTAAAATGCGTGTCATATTTGTCCTTGTTTAATTATGAGTTCAATTGGTTCAATTTGATTATATTTGTCCAAATTGGCAAAAATATCTATTGTGATTATAACTTCGGAACTGAAATTGATGGCTTTAACGGGTTCAGAAACCGAAGCGGAGGACATGGATAGACTCGTGGGAGTTTTTAGAACACTTTGGGAAGTTTATCATCAATAACATTAGAAAAAGTCATCCTATTGTGTTAAATTTAATGGATTCAATAACTTTATTTATTTATTCATTTATTTATTTATTTTTTAAAACTTTTCAGCAAAAAGAAATCAATTCTCGTGATCATTTGCAAGTAATATTCCAATAAACAGAAATATACGCAAAAGCATATATATATATTGGAGAGACTTCTAGACTCAACAAGAAGAGAAAAGAAAAAATTGCGTAAGGGAGAGAGAGAGAGAGAGAGAGAGAGAGAAAAGAGGGAGAAATCAAAGAGAAACTTGAAGATCAAGCTTGGATTCATCAAGTTTATGCATGATCAAGAGTTATTGAAGGCTTGAGGTAAGGTTTTACCTCTCAAATCTTGAAGAGTAAGTGTCAAAGAATGGGTTTCATAGCTTATATGTGATTATATATATGTATGGTGTTATACAACTCAAGAATATGATAAGAAAATGTAGAATCTTGGCATCATATCATGTGATTTATGTTCATACCTTGTTTTCTTGCATGTTTCATGCGTGATTCATGATGTTTTCAAGATTTCTTCATGTAAAATTGGGATTGGAACTCAACTATATAAGTTAAATTGAAGTTTCAAATGTGGAATT